GGGGGGGGGTGTCTCTATCATCTCAGTCTCTATCAGCGACAAAGAGCCGCTCATTGAGGTCAGCCCTGCCTAAAAACCCAGACATACACCGGCAAACTATTGTAAGGAAATGCCACGTGTGTGTATGTAGCACACAAACCTGGACAAGCTTTCATTCACATCCTTTCAAACCCAGGGATGCAGGACAATAAAATCTGACCGAGACAGACGTGTTGCAGTACTCCTAATGACATTTACCATCACAAAGACAGAAGCAAAAACACAAAACAAAACCCAACACAAACCTTATTAAAAAAGACTGAGACTTGTGTGAAACTTGGGATCAAATTTCTGTCTCTTTGACAGCTACACCCAACTCAAATTCTAATGAGCCATTGTGGCCCCAAAAGAAAAAAACTGATCTGAACATCCTCTTAGTATGCAAACGAGAACTCATAAAGGGCTTTATGATAATAAAGAGAACATATACACATTGGCTCACGTAGTCAGATGGAATAATGCTGTGAGCACTTCGCCAAAAACAGTTATCCAAGTTGTAAAAATAGCTTTTCTGCTAATTAAGCTCTTTATGAGGGCCAAAACCTACATATGTATTTTTTTCCCAAGTGGGAAACAAGACCTAAGCTTCCCCCCAGATGACTTACTTCTATACTGTCATACACCATGCTGAAGCCACTCCAAAACTGGCAAACCTAACTTCACCAAACGTTGCGTATTTATTTTAAGTACCATTAAAATTAAAAGGAAATGAGTGGCAGTGAGGGGTGGGTGAAAGTATGCAGGGCACATAGGAATTTCAACCCCCAACCCCTCCCCTTGTTGCCCTCAAGGATTTACTGTAAACGCCCCCACCCCCCTCCTTCAAGGAAAGTTTCCATTACTTGGGCTTATCTCATGATTAGCATCATTGATTTGCCTTTTTGCCTCTCTGATTATTAACATGTCTGCTTCCATTATTGCTTAGCACTCTGCATCCTGTGACTGGTCTGGAGGTGGATTTAGGAGATAAACAAATAAAAAAAAAATAACTCAACCAAGCCTGGAGAGAAAGAAAAATCTATAAGCTCTTTTTTTCCACAATGAAGAGGAATGTTTACTAAATCGCTGACGGCGGCCTGTGCTTCACAGCCATGGGGGTCTCTACTGAGGAAGCTTGGAAATAAACATGGGCCTGGGTTCTTTCTGTGTGGAACAGAGCCTGTGTGTTGATTATAGCTCTTTATTGTTATGAATTACCTACAAGTATTTCCTAAATGATGACTGTGTTTACGCACTGGAGCAGTGAAGTGTTGCCAGCAGCACTAAGCCAGAAGAATGCATTCCCAAATGTTTCATTGCTACTTAATAATTGAGGAAAAACACGGACCAAAAGAAAATGAAAAAAGCAGCATGTCAGTATGATTAACAACGCCTCTATATCAAATCTGGAATAAGCACTAAATGTCCGTTTATTTGCTGTAGAGGTTGTTATTTGTGGCAGTGTCAAAAAGCAGTTAGGTAGTTTTTTGGCTAAAATGGAAAACATGGGTGTGGTTAAAAGATGTCTAAATGTCAGGTTTGGATTGAAATATTGGAGTTAATTTCACAGATTTGAGGCTAAACTCTCTTCAAGCTAACTTTGCTAGCTTAAAAAGTTCTCTTAGCTAGGACCACACGGAAACCTCTACAAGACCCACCGGAGGTCCCCGCTCCCTACTTTAGAACCCATTGGGTTTTAAGGTTAAACTTGAGATATATTTGTATATACACATATAAATAAAAATGGGCCTCACCGTTGATTCCTTTGTTGGGGACGTCGTTAACATTGAAGCCTTTGGAGCTGTAGGCAGCACGAACTTCATTACAGTTGTTCAACTTTTGCTCCGCAGTCCCCGACACCGACAACACAGCCACCGTCCACACGACACACAGCGCCAACAAACTCTTCATTTTGAGCCAGGCGAAGACAGAAAAATAAGAAGCCTAACAGCGAAAACCGCAAAAATGTTAAAGTCGCTCAGGTGTGAGTGTGTGCACGGCTAGGACAAAGTTTCAGCGAGTCCACGGTCGAGTTTCCTCATGGAGACGCGCTGATTTCTTCGGCTCAACAGATACTTCATTCAGAGCAGCAGAGGCCGGGAGAGCAGAAAGACACCGAAAAAACACCGTTCACGTCGGACGTTTCACAGCTACAGGTACGTGGGTTAAGTGTCGAGTTCCAGACTCAATTGAAAAACACACAAAGACGCGACAAAACAACGGGTTTAAAACATGGAAAAACTTTTTTTCCCTTTGAGACTGAAAGCAACAATCACAGTCTCACTACTCCTTCAGAGTTTCGACGAAACGTAAAAACCACGGGAGGAGAGCAGGCTGTGGAAAGTTATCGGGAAAAATTTGGGTTTCTTCAGTCTTCTTCTCTTTTCTTTTCCGAATCGGAGGAGGCCGAGGGTTTCAGTGGGAGAGGACGCTGGACCGCTTGCAGGTTGTACTGGGATCCAGATGCGAGCAGAAAAAGCCCTGGTGGACACCCAGGAGTGAGAGCAAGTTCCGGGGGACAAAGACCTGGAGACCAGGAACACCAGGGGTGGAGCGTGGAGCAGGGGCTTCCAACCAACCCAGGAGCTCTCTCCTACTTTAATGTTTAGACTGGAGGAAGCCGCGCTTGAAAATCGGGACTGGAGCTGAGGGTGGAGCTACACGGTGGCATAACATGTGGGTATGACCTATTACTGGCCCACATGCCATAAAGAAAAGACTCATTTAGATATGCAAAAGTGCTCAAAATCACAGATCTCTTTCACAGAAGATCCAAGTCTGACCTCTGCTTTGAGCAGGGATTTCTTATCAGTTTTTTTATTTTTTGCTTTTAGTGTTGAGATAAGAGTAGATAAAAGTCCTTGGAGTCAAACAGGCTTCCACACACAGTCTTAACAGATATTAGTGACAATAAACCATTTTTATCTCTGTTTCTAGGGCACCCCAAGGACTTGAATGATAACCAGGACATTTTGTAACCACATCTTATCCAAGGTGGGGAAACAGAGACCAGTGTGAAGTCTTTTAAGTCTTCACCCAGACGCTTTTATTTGAGTCCAGTACATTAGAGTTTGTTTAAAATGGCTGGGTGAAAGCGTGGCTAATGTTTCTGTAACAAGGAGTCAAAAAAAAAAAATGACAGGGCCCGCTCCTTACACAAACACGGTCAGGCTGTCCTGTGTTAGCAATGGGCCAGCTGTGCTTCTCACATCCAGCTGCCTGTCATATTGTGCTGTAAACAACAGTAAGCAGCTTGCTGGAAGCATGGTAGCAGGCTGTAGAGGTGGACTGAGATTGCACTCGCATCTAATGGGAGATGTATAAATCAGTGAAAAGCAGATCCTCACTGAGATGAAATGAGGAAGAATGCTTTTTTTGTTTTTTTTGCTGAACATGTTTGAAATGATGCGTCCTCCTGTCATGTTTTAGTTTTTTAAGCTGCACTTTGTTGGCGTCTGTCTGCTGGTGCTGTCATGCTGCTCTTTGCCTCTGACCTTTGTCCATCTCGCAACGCCGGCAAGAAAAGAGGAAAGAAAAAAACAATCTGAGTTTATTTAGCACTGAAAAGATTAAGCATGTGTGTCAACCTCTTAAAACACCAGAACCCTCAAAAAAAGGAGAAAAATAATTCAATTCACAATCAGAAGCTGCACTATTTGCACATTTTCAGTAAGGATGAGGTGCACTACAGTCTTTTTTATGCCAAAAGTAGCATTGACAAGATTTTTGTACCCCCTGCATTTAAAAATGCCCGGACTTGTGCACATGTCCGTTGGTTTGGGGAGGGCGCGGGGGGGTTAGCGATTGGCAAAATGACATTCCTCCTTTTGTGTCCACATTCCTCAGGCGGCTCCACTCATTCTGTGTGACTGCGGCTGCTGCAGGGGAAGCCAGGGGCTGCTGAGGAGCAAGAGAAGGAGGAGGATGCTGGAGCTGTGTGTGCATGGGAGAGCGTGGGCCCGGCGCTCCTCTCAGTGGGCCAACAAAAGGTAAGAAAATGGTCCAGTGCCATGGTAATTAGACGTGAATGAGCTTTGAACGACATGACATGTCTCTGGCCTTTCTCTGCAGCGAAGGAATTTCAACATCCAGCTTGGTAAAAATTGGACTGGACTTTGGGGGGTGGGCGGGGATGTGCCTGTGCACTTTCGAGCACCTGAATTACATTGTTATTTTAATTTATATGCAGTGCTTGATGACCCCTCTGGCTCGTGAAGGTACACAAGCCCAAACATCTTTGTGTGGCCATGAAAAAAGGGCTGAAATACATATTCATAGGGGAGTCAATCACTCAGGCAGAAAATGCAACAATTCCTAATAGTCAGCAATTCTCACTGTTCCTGCTGACTAACATCACATTGACCTTTCACTCTCATAATGCCGGCTGTTCCAACATTGCCCCAATATTACCCTAAGAAAACACATGGACTCTGCATCTCAATGGGCCTGTATGCCCATTCTCCAGCCTCACATTAGCATTCAGAGTATACTCCCCCCCTCCTCCCCCTCCATCCCGGGCTAGCTGCTGCTCTCTCTGCAGCCGGCGTTTGCTCATCTCCTTATAATCAGCCTCCCGTTTACATCTTAAAAGCTGCAATACAACTCAGGAGAGAAAGGCACAGCTGGATAATAATGGCGTTTTTATCTAGCACTGCCGAGCAGAGGGTGTGTGGGTGTGAAAAGTTACAGCAGAGAATTGGGGACACAGAAATGGGATTTTGAAGTGCGTTTGCTGTGACAGGCGTGTTATCTGCGGAGCTGTGAGTGATTGGCCTTGTTAGGGAAGCAGACAGGCTTTAATAATGGAGACGAAACACAAACACTTGGGACTAATGAACCCTGGTTCACTGCTGGGTTGTGGATGAGTATAGCTACCTGGTTAAGTTAAGCTTAGGAGGTTAACAGACAGGGTCAATAGAGAGAAGCGCTGCAGAGAGGGACAGAGAGGACAGTAGTTCATAATCTGCTGGGAGTGAGAAAATACAGATCCAAAGAAAAAACACATGATCCACGTGCTGCTTTGAGGACTCAGAGCAACGAGCGCAGTCCAGAAACACATAAATTTTATGATTCATGACTCGCTTTGAAGTGGATCAGTAGTGAAAAGCACAGAAAGTAATATATATGCCTGGAACATTGTGTGTGCAATTTGTAATCGCAGCAGCGTGCCATCCATTTAATCCTTGTTTTTCATGGCATTTTAAGGATTATTCCATACCCAAAAAGAGTTGGAATCTTTCACTTCATGTTTTTGGGGTTGTTTTTCCACTTTCCTCCAACAACTTAGCATTGAGCTGTTGGTAGCTTTTATTCCAAACATTTGCTCATTCTGCCATTACTCTCACGTAAAACAAGCCTGACAATCAAGTTAATCTGCAACTTAATTTCACTTAATTCATTCAGCCTGACACTACATCCATGTCAATCAGTTTATTCCTGGAAGGGGGTGTTTTCTTTTGCCTCAACTAATCACAAGTGAATGACTTTTGACCTGCCAACATAATGTTCAGTCAACAAAGAAGTCATGGGAGTGCTCGCCTGGAGCAGAAAGACACTTTTTTAATGTTATTTGAGTTTATTAACAGTAGCAAACTAACATCCATCAAGTTCATCCATGCTTGTCCACACAGCATGTGGTTCTTATATAGTGCTTTTCTACTCTACCTGACCACTCCAAGCACTTTTTACATCTTGCTGCATTCTTTACCTATCTAACATTCACACACATTCATAGAAACTAGAGTAGAACTGGAGGTTAGCATATTGTGACTGTGCGGACGGATGGAATAGCAAATCCATCAGATTCTTGGGTCTTAATGATAGAGCTGTGACACTAAAAAGACTGCTAGCTTACGCAGTCAGCTAGCTCTACTTCTTATCCTTGTAGTAGCTCTATCCATTCTTAATGTTCTAAGCACTTAAAGTGCCCTCACATTCATTCAGCACTTTTTATACTAAACTTGTGTGTAGTGCTTTTCCTGTTACACTCATACCACTGAAATATGCTTAGTGTTAGCAGCTAAGCATATTTCCACCCCCTTCGTGTCTTAATCTTCATTTTTTGCTTCATTGCTAAATGCTTAGCTGAATACGCTAATGCTAATTGTGATGCTAATATCTTAGCTTAAAAACACATTGCCACAGGCACAAAACATCAAAACAGATTGAGTTTATTTTACAATATATTTTCCCCATCAACATTCAATTGAGAGAAAAACAAACACATCATTATTTCTTATGACTCCTAGGTGGGACACTGGCCAGGGGTCTTGTGACTGGCCATAGGAGACATAAATCAGGTGGTGCTAGTCAAATAATTTAGGCCTGCACTTTGTTTAGGCATTCCACTGCCAGGACCCTGGTAGTCAGCGTGCTCGATCGCTGATATGACTTAGCTGTACACCTGTGCTTTTCCTGACATGACAAGTCAAACAGTGGGCCATGGGCAGACTCAGCACTCGCAGCTGTGGAGTCAGCTGTGTGGTAGCAGCAGCACCATGTTTGCATCATCCATGTTAAAAAACCAAACAAATGAAACAATAAGAATCTCACTTTTGCTTTTAACCCCAAAAGCACAGAAAAAAAGATTAAATACAGAGGCCATCCTTGGAAATGTATGAGACCAGTGCAACATAACAAAATTAATGTACACGTTTTTATACATATTTATATTTCACCTTAATGATCGCTTTATGCACAGTGCTAAAGAGTAAGCTAGAAACTGCAGCAAGGCTTCACAATCCGGCCAATAATTAGTCCACAAACCAAAATGCTAGTATTGTAAATAAACACGTTAATGTAAACATGGCACCAACACAGAGAAACATACACCTGTACAGTTATCAGGCTGACTTTGGAGACTTACATTCGAATGATAGCCCTTGGATCCTTTTTTTTTTTATTATTATTATAGGGCTGTTACTGTTTCTAAAGAAAAGTGCACCAGCTTTACAAAACAGAGCAAACAGTGATGGTGGGAGTGTGAAGGAAGCAGTCGGTAATAATTTAGCTATCACTACGACATAAACAATCAGAGAGAAGGGTGAGTAGTAGCAGAGCATTTTAAGGAACAGTGCATGTTTAAATAAGTGATTCATTGCATCATTCAGGGGAAAGGAGCTCACTAAAACTGACCAGATAAAGTCCAGCCCTGGCAGGAGGTCATGCTCTGCCACGAAGGAAAATGACAGCAGCTGATTTCGTCTTCTTCCAGTTTGTACCTGCTGGGCTGTGACTCAGTACAGACTGAGCGGGAGCATTTATTTATTTATTTATTTTAAAGGCCCGTTGTGTGCTAGGTCCTTTACATGTCTAAAAATGAATCTCTCCATCACTTTGTTACATTACATAAGAAGTGAGTGTGAGAACAGAGGTGAGGCAACAGGACACAAAAGTTGAAATAACCATTGTGGCAGCAGACCAGTGGGCAACTTTCTTATTTACACAATGGCGTCTAATGTGCTTTAGTAGGTTTGTTAAGAACACAGGTTGAACAGGTTCTTGTTCAGACAGATAAAGAGAAATGTAGCATTTTCTGTTGTTCATGCGTCCTCTGCTGAGCCACTAAACTTTATATCAGGAACAAGAATTC